ATTGCGTTGCTGTCCCAGCACGCCGCTGTGGTCCCTGCTTCAGCGGCGGCCGGTCGACACATCACCCGACCGGTAGCCGGCTCCCAGCTGCGTCCGCCGCCGGCGCCGGCCTTGTCACTGCCGCCTGCCGCCCGCCAGGCGGCGTCAGCCTGCTCGCAGGCGGAGCCGCCTGTGCTCTCCTTAGCTGTGCCGAAGGTCACCGGTGCGCCAGGTGAGGCGCCGCATTTGGAGATAGTTAACGACGTGCAAATTATCTTCATGCGTACAGGTCATTCAGCAGAGTGGCGCAGTGGAAGCGTGCGGGGCCCATAACCCAGAGGCCCTCGCACAGCCCTCGCGGCGCCGCACGCGCCTCCCGTCCAGAGCGCCACCACCGAGGACTATCCGAGTCCCGCGGTTCAGCTAGCCCTCGGGCACCGGCGAGTCTTCGGAGGAGGAGGAGGCACCAGCGGCGGAGACCGGCAGCGGCCCCGGCTCGGGCGGCGGCGTGAGACCGAATGGTGAAGTGGACACGTTGCGTACATGACGCCCATGTCGCATGGAGGGAGTTGCATGACAGGAAACCAACACCCGGAATCGTGAGGTTCAAAGTGTGACGTCCAGGTGCGTAAGGCACTGCAGTCTGCACACGCAGATGACAGGAAAGAAGGAAAATTTACCAATAGCTACGACAGTTCCAAGCGGACAGTGTGTATGGCTGCCCGGGTGCACCTTACCCCAATACGTGGGAAGTGACCTGATCAACCACCGGGTGTTTGCGGGATGCTGTGTCAGCTGATGGCTCGGTCGTGCCAGCGCCTGTAGGTGACTTAAGACGTGACAAATCCGAAAACGACCTTGTTCACTGCATTTGACCATGACTAAACGCCAACAAACACCACGCGTTTACATGACGGTAAATGCACAGTATTGTCCGGGTTTATCTAGTGGAATGCACTGCCTGGGGGGCGCATGGTACCACAATGACGTGGACGCGAACCAACAAAACTACCGCCGGGTCCCAGCATCTCGATCCCCTCGTTTCCTTTCAGCATTTTGAATACCGTTTATCCCAGGTAGCGTATGTGCAGTAATAAACATACCTGGCACGTCTCGCTGAAGTTTTACGCCGAGATCCACTGCCGTCGATTCGCCAAACCCTAGCGGAGACGATTTCCCATCCACCTTCTACGGGTCTGTTCCAGTTCTCTCTGTATAGGAACCTCCGAGGTATTACCAGAGAGATCACACGCTCTCCGCTAAACCCACCGAACAAAGGTGACGTCATCAACCACAGCGCCAGCTGGGCCCATTACGCACATGCCGCCGCTAAACCCCTACAATCGTATAGCCTGGTCGCGACTCGTTGCATTCACGTTTACTTGGTGGCTGTGGTGCGGGTCGTGTGGTAATCTCTCTGAAGGCGACCAAGACGTCGTATTTGATGAGTATACGACATTCATATCTTATTTAGTGACACTCGGTGTCGTCTAAGCTGCCTTGCAAAATACCATTTAAGCGAGGGCGACGGCCGGTCCGCCAGCGGCGCGGTCTCCGATGACGACTGAGGGGCGGCTTGGACGGTGGGCTGGGGGTGAAAGGTCAGCTGCAGCCCCCTCCCCCAATCAGAGCGAAAATTAACGTCGGTCGCTAGCTTCGCACGGCAAGAAACCCGCTGAACTCTGCTTCTGCTTCTCCCCCAATTCTCTAGGCTTCATCGGCACTATGCTTCGAGTGAGACCGACTGGTGAAGTGAGCACGTTGCGTACATGACGCCCATGTCGCATGGAGGGAGCTGGATGGCAGGAAACCAACACCCGGAATCGTGATGTTCAAAGTGTGACATCCAGATGCGTAAGGCACCGCAGTCTGCGCACGCAGATGACAGGATAGTTGAGGATTTTATCAATAGCTACGACAGTTCCAAGCGGACAGTGTGTATGGAGAGGCCCGGGTGCACGCTGCTCCAACACGTGAGTAGTGAGCTCTTGAATTAATCGCCAAGTGTTTACTAGACGCTGTGTCAGTTGATGGCTCGGTTGTGCCAGCGCCTGTAGATGATCCAAGACGTGACAAATCCGAAAACGACCTTGTTCACTTCATTTGGCGATGACTAAATGTCAACAAACAAGACGCGTTTACATGGCGATAAATGCACAGTATTGTCCGGGTTGATCTGGTGGAATACACTGGCTGGGGAGGGAAGAGGGGCGCATGGCACCAGAATGACGTGAACGCTAACCGACAAAACTACCACAGAATCCCAGCATGTCTATCCCCTCGTTTCCTTTCAGCATCTTGAATATCGCTGTTTATACCAGGTAGCGTATGTGCAGCAATAAACATAACTGACACGCATCGCTGAAGTTTGACGCCGAGATCCACTGTCGTCGATTCGCCAAACCCTAGCGAACCCCCCCCCCCCCCCCCCCCTCTACATTATACTGGTCTGTCCCAGTTCTCTCCGTTTAGGAACTTCCGAGGCATTACCAGAGAGATCACACACCCTCCGCTAAAGCCACCGAACAAAGGTGACGTCATCAACCACGGCGCCAGCTGAGCCCATCGCTCCCCCACAGTGGTACAGCCTGGTCACGACTCGCCGCTTGCGAGCCCGTTCGTTACGACCGATCTGCCGTCGCGTCATAGGTCCCCCAGAAGACCGCGTGATGCCTGAGCGTGTTTTATGGCATCACCTTTATTTAGTGGCTGCGGTGGAGGTCGTGTGGTAATCTCTCTCACGTCGACCGAGACGCCGGTTTTTTTATGAACATCCGTCATTCATACCTGATTCAATAAGATTTAAGGTTGTCTACGCTTCGCCGCAAAAGCCCAGTAAACAGGTGAGTGCTCGGAGTTCGAACGTAGGAAACAAGAGATGCCTCGTTTTGTGACGAGATGTTCTTAGCCGCGTGGTGACGTAACGGAACTAACCTAACGATGTGTTGGATTAGTGCCTGTATGACTATTCTGCACTCTATTGGCTATTACGGCGCTGCCCCAGTACGCCACTATGGCCCCTGCTTCAGCGGCGGGAGGTCGACCCATCACCGCAGAGGCGGCCGGCCCGCAGGCGGCGCGACCGGCCGCCAGCTCTCAGCTGCATCCGCCGCCGGCGCCGGTCTTGTCACTGCCGCCTGCCGCCCGTCAGGCGGCGTCAGCCTGCGCGCAGGCGGAGCCTGGCGCCGCGGAGCCGCCTGTGCTCTCCTTAGCTGTGCCGAAGGTCACCGGTGTGTCAGGTGAGGAGCCGCATTTGGAGATAACTAACGTCGGACAAATTATCTGTTCATGCGTACAGGTCACCCAGCAGAGTGGCGCAGTGGAAGCGTGCTGGGCCCATAACCCAGAGGTCCGTGGATCGAAACCACGCTCTGCTAGTTTTTCTGGGTGTATTCACGTACGTTTCACCTTTGAAAACGGTTATAATTATCAGGCGAAGTTTGTGTAGTTCCGATGTTATCCGATAGCAGAGTGGCGCAGTGGAAGCGTGCTGGGCCCATAACCCAGAGGTCCGTGGATCGAAACCACGCTCTGCTAGCTTTTCTGAGTGTAGTCACGTTCGTTTCAAATTTGAACATTATTACTATCATGCGACGTTCGTATAGATCCGCGGTTACCGGCCAGAAGAGTGGCGCGGTGGAAGCGTGCGGGGCCCATAACCCAGAGTTCGCACGGCCCTGGCGGCGCCGCACGCGCCGCCCGTCCGCCGCGCCACCACCGAGGACTCTCCGAGTCCCGCGGTTCAGCCAGTCCTCGGGCACCGGCGAGTCTTCGGAGGAGGAGGAGGCACCAGCGGCGGAGACCGGCAGCGGCCTCGGCTCGGACGGCGGCGTGAAACCGACTGGTGAAGTGGACACGTTGCGTACATGACGTCCATGTCGCATGGAGGGAGTTGCATGACAGGAAATCAACACCCGGAACCGTGAGGTCCAAAGTGTCACATCCAGGTGCGTAAGGCACTGCAGTCTACGCACGCAAATGACCGGATTGTTGAGGGTTTTATCAATAACTACGACAGTTCCAAGCGGACAGTGTGTATGGGGAGGCCCGGGTGCACCTTACCCCAACACGTGAGCAGTGACCTCCTGAATCAACCACCAAGTGTTTGCTGGACGCTGTGTCAGTTTCTGGCTCGGTCGCGCCAGGGCCTGTAGATGACCCAAGACATGACAAATCCGAAAACATCTTGTTCACTTCATTTGACGATGACTAAACGCCAACAAACATCACGCACTTACATGGCGATAAATGTACAGTATTGCCCGGACTGAACTGGCGGAATGCACTGGCGGGGGGGGGGGGGGGTAGGGCCGGGGGGGGGAGCACATGACACCAGAATGACGTGAACGCCAACGAACAAAGCTACCACCGAATCCCAGCATGTCTATCCACTCGTTTCCTTTCAGCACCTTGAATATTGCTGTTAATCCCAGGTAGCGGATGTGCAGTAATAAACATACTTGACACGTCTCGCTGAAGTTTGACGCCGAGATCCATCGTCGTCGATCCGCCAAACCCTAGCAAAAGCGAGCCCCCATCCCAATTCTACGGGTCTGTCCCGGTTCTCTCCGCTTAGGAACTTCCGAGGAATGACCAGAGCGATCATCACACGCCCTCCGCCACAACCACCGAATAAAGGTGACGTCATCAACCACGGCGCCAGCTATGCCCATCACGCGCATGCCGCCGCTGCTCCCCCACAGTGGTACAGCCTGGTCACGACTCGCCACTCGCGAGCCCGTTCGTTACGACTCATCTGCCGCCAATGGCAGCACGCTTGGTCGGCGGAATCGTTCAAACCCGGGCCGCCCACAGCTTCCTCGCGAAGTCCGCCCCGTTGGCTTGCAGTCCCTCCCTCGGGTAGGGAGTCTGCACACCGACGGACCAAACCGCACGAAGCAGATGCGGAACCACTCCGCGGACCTAACTGGCTGACCCCTCCCCACGGGCAGGCGCCGGCGGGATGGGCGATGGTCGGGTGGGGGGCGGGGAAGGGGGACGGCACACCGGCGTCAGCTGCACCGCTTCTCGTCGAAGGCTGCGCACTAGCCCTCCGGAGGAAGCGCTTCTCATCACAGGCGTCACTACAACACCAGACGCGAGCGCAGGCACTGACTTCGCCTGGGCTTCCGCAGGAGACCAGTGCGCAGACCCCTTCATCATCATCAACCATCATCCTCAGGCAGCAGCATCAATCATATCAGGCGGCATATCTCACCGGTCCTCTGACATCTTCACCATCATGAGGTATCACCATCATAAACGGCAGCTAGCACCATCATCACGCAGCACATCATACCAAGTTGACAAACGGCCACCGCCCATAGACAGATACTTCAGCCTGTCGCAGACCAGCAGGCTCTTCAGCGCTCGCAGGCGCCATCGCCGGTCGGTCCAGGTCCACACTCCGCTAGGCAGTGCTCACAGCTCGGTGTGCTCGAACCTTCGCATGTCGGGCGGCGGCCGGTTGTACCAGCGCGCGAACGCCATGTTGGCCACGTTCCGCGCCGCGACCACGGACATCTCCATGGCCGAGGCTGCCGCCTCCACGCTGTTCAGGTAGTACAGGTTGTCCCGCAGCGTGAAGTTGCCCAGCGGCGCGCCGACGCCGTAGCTCGGGTAGGCGAGCCACGACAGCCGCCGCTCGCGCCGCCTGGCGGCGAACAGGGCGTCCAGCTGCGGGGCGCTGAGCGGCGCGTTGGAGAAGACCTTGTGGACGGCGTGCGGCGCCTGCGCCCCGCTCACCGGCCGCACGCGGCCGATGGAGTTGAACTCGGCGCAGCCAGCCGAGCAGAGTATGTCCTCCGGGAGGGAGGAGGCCGCGAGCGCTCCCGGCCGCAGCTGCCGGCGCACAGGCAGCGTCAACGGCCGTACACGGCTAGACGACGGCCCTCTGGCGTGTGGTTCAGCGCATTGCGGCGCTGAACAAGCGTGAGAGACTACTACGCGCCGACCTTATATGTCTCGATCTGGCACCACGAGAGCGACGGACAGGTGATAAGTTCTGTACACGAGCACGGTCAGGTCGGGTGATAAGTTCTGTACGCGTGAAGGGCGGGCGCATGATAAGTTTTATACACGAGAGGGACGGGCAGGTGGCATGTTCTGCACACGAGAAAGATGGGCGGATGATAAGTTCTGTACACAAGGACGGTCAGGTCGGGTGATACGTTCTGTACGCGTGAAGGGCGGGCGGATGACAGGTTTTGTACTCGAAAGGGACGGGCGGGTAGTATGTTCTGCACACGAGAAGGATGGGCGGGCGATGCATTACGTATACGTGAAGGACGGGCGGGTTACAAGTTCCGCCAAAAAGCCACGACCCAGCAAACAAAAACGTAACACAAATGGACCAACTAACGTCGATCAGCACTCCTCTGCAAACATCAAAACAAAAACGTAGCCTTTCAAAGCATACAGTGCCTTATTCCCAAAGCAACGCCCACTAAAGGCACTCCACCGTGATTGTGCCATGGCGTATAGCCTGGGCACAATCACACCGGCTCACCCATACGAGCGCACACTCACCTCCCCGTCCACGAACGTGACGCTCAGGTTGTGGTAGCGCCCGGGGAAGTGGAGCGGCACCGGCAGGCCCTCCCACACGATCGGAGCGTGGTCGGCCGTCTGCGGCGCCGCCACTATCACGATGTCGAACACCTGCGTCTGCGGCGCGCCGCCGCCGTCTGCTGACGTCACCAGGTACGCGTCGCCTGCCGGGGGTCGCCCGGGCGGGGTCAGGAGGAACCCGTGGTCAGCGGGTGTCGGGTGGAGGTGAACTTGTGTTCGGGCGTACAAGACGCTCGCTGTCCAGCACGGGGAGCTCATAAGAAAAGTGAATAAATACGGCTTATGTTCCAACAAACAAATTCCTTCACATGGGCGTGTACTGATATTTGCGCCTTTGCAAAGGAAATGGTTGTCACTTGTAGGAAAGCCCAGTTTGTCAGAGTCAGAGCAGTCAGACATGGGTGCTAAAAGAACACGGAATTGTTATTAAATCATCAGTGTTTGAGCCTGATTAACATTTCTTTACCATAATCATACCGAAATTTTACAAACCGACGGGGTTATTCACCAGTGAACTTGATCTTTTCTACGCGCTCTTTGCGTACTGTGGCGCCCGACTCCTCGACCGCTTTCACCGCCACCTGATAGTTGCCGCCCATAACTGCAGTTAGCTCGTTTGCCGCGCCCGCCAGCGCCACCATTCCTGCGGAAAGCGGAAAAGCGAGATAAATATGTCTGGCAATATCAGAATCAATCAATCAATCAATGTCCCGAGCAACCACATTGACAGATCCAAATCGTGGCTTATTAGCGCTTATACTTTTGAGTGCTATCACTACGTCCAAGAATGCGCATCACTGGTGGTTACCCGGTGTGCCCACAATGCACCGGCACACGCTGGTTACCAAGGATTTCGGAATAAAAAACGCCACCAGCTGCCAGCTGAACAACCAATCACCGAACAACGCGAACGTTACACGCACGACCCGATCGCCCGATGAGCCAACGAATGCGTCACGCACGAGCTAACGCCCCGCACCGCAAAACGAGCCCACCCACACACCGCACGAACACTCCAGAGGCAGCCGAACGACAAGCGAATGCCTTGCATACCTTCATCCGCGACACAATACTGGCGGACGTGAGCACTCACCGACGAAGGCGTGGATATCAGGCCTCTGTCCGTAGTTGGTTAGCGTGGCGGCTGTCACCATCTCCTCCACAAAGCCGGGCTGCAAGCCGCTCAGCCTGGCAGCGCCGGCAGCGGGTCAGGCCGCATCACACACGGGAGCAGGTACGGCAGCGGGTCAGGCCGCATCACACACGGGAGCAGGTACGGCAGCAGGTCAGGCCGCGTCACACACGGGAGCGGGTACAGCAGCGGGTCAGACCGCGTCACACACGGGGGCGGGTACGGCAGCGGGTCAGACCGCGTCACACACGGGAGCAGGCACGGCAGCGGGTCAGACTGCGTCACACACGGGAGCGGGTACGGCAGCGGGTCAGACCGCGTCACACACGGGGGCAGGTACGTCAGCGGGCCAGGCCGCGTCACACACGGGAGCGGGTACGGCAGCGGGTCAGGCCGCGTCACACACGGGAGCGGGTACGGCAGCGGGTCAGGCCGCGTCACACACGGGAGCAGGTACGTCAGCGGGCCAGGCCGCGTCACACACGGGAGCGGGTACGGCAGCGGGTCAGGTCGTGTCACACACGGGAGCGGGTACGGCAGCGGGTCAGGCCGCGTCACACACGGGAGCGGGTACGTCAGCGGGTCAGGCCGCGTCACACACGGGAGCGGGTACGTCAGCGGGTCAGGCCGCGTCACACACGGGAGCGGGTACGGCCGGACAGACACAATCTCGGCGCGACGCTGCGTTGCCTTGGTAACGAACAGCGATGCGCGGGGCTGTAAATCATCAGCTGTAGTTCATAAACTCGAAGCTCAGCGCCTATACGTCTGTTTTGCTAATCCAAGTGAGCACCTGAGCGACTCTGTCCACAAAGAGGCAGGGCCTCTCGTCCCCCACTGCTGTTCTCATGCAAACAACAGGGCTAAGTGTTGAGCCATCCCTTGTGCTGGTGGTGAGTGGATTTGCTATTGAACCAACCTCTCCAGAACCGTGAAACCACTGAGGGAAGACCCAGTTATCGTGGAACACAGCAGAGACAGAGTAAGTGCGTATTACCAGCCATGATTTGGTCCCTGGTTGTTCACAAACCCATCAAACAGTTCATGATGTCATCCATCACAATACGATGTCAAAAATGTCGCTCGTCACTGATGAATTGCACTGCTTACTTGAGGTATTGTGAGAGTGGAAGGCCCATCAGTTTGATCAGGCTGGGGTCCATGGCCATTATGAGGTCCTCCACGGTGTCGTAGGCCGCGCCCGAGTCCAGCAGGTTGTAAATACTGACGGTAGATGGCAGTGTCAACCACACGTTGGTTGCATTTGCTGACGGCAGATGGCATGTGCAACTAACCAAATATGTAACTAACGACAGACCGCTCAGGTCATGATCGATGTACAGAGACCCGGTCACCCCCCCCCCCCCCCCCCCCATTGGTGCACACAGAAGACAGTGAACTATCGATACGGAAGAACCGGAAGTCACGCGGAAATGAAGAGGGGTTTCCTCCAGAGAACTGAACATAGGCCAAGATGGCACGAAAGTGGGCAATGCGCACTTACCTACAAGCGAGTTTCCGGGGTTTTCGTATAGACTCTTCCCTGTGCGACGTTTGCTGATTATTTCGAAAAAATTTCGCGGAACATACGGAATCAAATGTTTACCAAGTGTTCATGAAATATTGGCCGCACACTTTGACGGCCACATAGTTACACGCCGCGTCGAAACGCTTCCAGCGACTCTGAGCTCGAGGACCCATCGACGCCTCTCACAGCACTCAAGCCTCTCCCACCACAGCTGATTCAGGCGACGCCACCAATGAATTACAGGGGGGGGGGAGGGGGAGGGGCAGAGGGCACGGAACGTCCACTTTTTCCATGCAACGCCAGTCCACGCCCCTCCCCACGGCGGCAATCCTGACAAATGTCCCGCCTCCACACCTGCTGAACTTGAGCAGCATGGCGGACACCAGCCGCTGCAGCTTGATGACGTCGTAGCCGTAGCGCCAGAAGAGCTTGGCCATGGTGACGAAAGACCAGCTGGAGCTGACGAAGAGCAGCTGCTGGCCGTCGCAGAGGCCGAACGTGTCGTCAGAGTCTGGTCTGCGCTGCAGACCTGGCGGCGACGGAACGGACGTAGCCGAACGGATTAAGGCCTTTGGTTTTAGACCAAGAGGTCTAGGGTTAGATCTCCGCCGCAGGAAGCTTCCATCCACCCTATATATATATATATATATATATATATATATATATATATATATATATATACAACCAACGAAAAACACGCATGCACCACGACTGACAGAAACACTCGGTGAAAACGTGCCAGTACGTGCGTAGACGTTCGCAAAACATCGTGCGTACGGGCTGCAAGAGAAAAGGAGGCACGCAAGAAGAGTACGTGAGCGCGGGACATTTTTATACGGAAGCGCGGATATGCGAGTGACGGTGGCTCCCAACGCAACCGCAAAGAGCACTTACCGAATTTATCAATAAAATCCATCATGTACTTGTTCTTGGTATGTATGATAGAGCCTCCAGACTCGAACCTGGGGCAAAATCGTCATGTGAGTAGTCGATAGCAACGACTAAGTCGTTTCTTAAACTCAACAACATTAGAATTTAGAAAATCACGTTGAAAACCCTTATGGCTTAGTGGATAATCCCGGACAAATATCAAATACCAAAAGCCTTCAGTTTCACCCAGCGCAAGTCCTCGAACCTCTCATATTCGCAAATCTCAGACATAATTTTTACTAATCACTACAGCATTCCAAACCCGACTTCACCGACCAGTGGTCGTTGACCTCCTCCATGTCCAGGCGGCCGCCGATCCTGTTCTGTTCGTACAGCTGAATGTCGGCGTCCTCCTTGAACAGCTGACGGACGAAGTAGGCGGCCGAGGAGCCGCCGATGCCACCTCCGACGATGCCTGCAGCGCACGACAGGGTCACATGGGCACCCTGTCTGGGGATCCCACAGCCATCCCATCCCCAACCACTTCTCTGGTGTGCTGATGTTCTTCAGCAGGGCATTAACAAGCAGAGGGACAGCTCACAGACCTGATGCCATGTGATGGCTTGAGTCTGCCATGTACTCTGTCACATATAGTCTGTCATATAGTCTGTCATATTGACATACCAGCTAGACAACCCTATGATGAGCATGTCATGATGAAAAATGTCAGAAAATGTCAGAAAATGTTCTCTGTCATGGGGGTAACCCACTGTTGCGCAGTTTCTATTTGAGACAGCATCCACCAGAGAGACAAGGCTGGATAAAACACAATGGCATTGTGCCATCTGGAATGCTAGGTATGATTTGTAATTACCATGCCTTGATATGATGTGCGTGATACTTCAACAAAGGAAAATGACATTGTGAACTCTGGCCATAGTGTGATTACTTGCCTGTGGCTCTACACATTGTATCCACACTTATTGCATCTGTGGCATCCACACACATTAATGCTCAGGCTATAACAAAGGATGATATTCCAGTGGCAGTCAGCCAGTATATGTGGTAAAGAGCAAACACAACTACATTTTCTGAGTATTCCACTTTACTGATTTCACCATGCATTCTGTCCCAATAATTGAACAAAGTAAATATAACTTATATGCAGACCAATGAAATCCAATTTTACAAAAACTTCTCACGTTAAACTCCCCTAGGCTTTTCTGAAAAGCGGCCACTGATGAAAGCTGTCATGTAGAGAGCTCTCCCCTGCAATCAATGGGAGGTGATGATCTAGCAGCTATCCTTTTAACATGCATGGAAAAGCCCACAGACATGCAGCAAGCATGAGTCAAATGCATTGATTGTCAATGGTTATGTGGTGCTTAGATCAGATAAAGGGACGCATTATGTTGGCACACTATAGAGTAGCATGAGTAAAATTGCTTGCATCATCAGTCACGTTTCTCACACCAAATTATAGCGCAAAACTTAGAATGAACTTACCAACTCTGACAGCTGAGCTGCAGATGGCTGACATAATCAACACACATCCTACCAGATGTATATCATTCATGATTGAGGCACCTAGAACACAGCATTTGTAAGTTAAACAAATCAGTGGGTGATGAGTGAGTGGTAAGGACTTATGGGCAGTCTTGCCAGCATGGTCAAACAATGGTAAATAGTTAACCATGATGAATATTCATGATAAATGTACATGAATATATATATATATATATATATATATATATATATATATATATGTTCTGGAACATAAGTCAAACACTACCCGCATTAAGACTCAACAGACTGCATTGATCACAGGTAATGTCTCTGAACCATAACCTCACTACCTCCTCAACTTGCTAGCTACATGAGTGTATTGCTAGCTACTTGCTAGCTTCTTGCTAGCTACATGTCATTTTAGCAGAAAATTTCGAAACATTTTGTTTTCCAAATGTCTTGTCACTGTTGATGATGCTGAACTGAAGTGATACAACTACAAGTAACATCAGCATCACTCAACTTAGAATCAAGATTATTTCCAGCAGAAATTTGCTACACAATAATAAGCATAATATTGCACAAATGCCAAACTTATTTTGTGCCACACTTACACTTTCATTTCAATTGTTAGCATGCGAGAGCCACTTATCAAACAAATAGTTGTTACAATTGTACCGAACTTGTGGAACGCAACGTCTTTAAGAGCCACGCCACTGCCTCACACTTAAGTAATTCCAAAATCAATTCCTGTTGAAATGACCGCTGATTCCATTGCTATGTACCTGTGTACGCACCTAAGTGTAGGACTCCGCGGTTATCTGCAATTGTTTAACTACCAACTAAGCGTCACGTTCAACAACGGATATAAAATGTAAGGGAAACATTCCCAAAACACCGCAAGCCAGAAACGTCTGAGTAGCGCGGCAAAGGGGCCACTACCATATTGAATCCACATCCGGCCGTATAAAAGAATTTGGAGGGAATTCTTGCATCATATCAAAGGAAGCAATCTGAACTCGGGGGTAAGCTTATATATCTGAGATAAGTTGGTTACAAAACTAACATCTGCATCCGCGCGGCACTCTGGCTATGTGTGTTCTAAAGATACATCGTAAGTTATGTTTATTTTGGGAAGACATATAACTGAAAATTACCTGTTCTGCAAGACGTACGCCTCGACCCAAGGCGAACGGTTTGCAGAGCCGCGCGCTGCACTCAAGGCCGTAGAACAGAGGTCCTAGGCTGCATTTCCGCCAATAAAGATGCGGCACATGAACAGTAGGTGCGGAATGCATGTTTGGCCCTAATGATGCTCAGCAGTTCTGTAGAAGAACCCATAGACGTAAGAACGGGGGGGGGGGGGGGGAGTCCAAGGGCGTCACGACGCACCCACTTTCCGAGACTGCTGAGCATTAGCTGTATGGTGGCGCATGGAAAGAATCGACTAAAAAATTGTTTTGGTGCCCCAATCTCTGAAATATCCCTCCGCCTATGACAGACAAATGACTGTCGTCATGTGGTGCGTAATTTCACTTTTCCTCGACTTTACTTTATGGCATGGTGTTGAAATATAAACATAAGCAAAGAATGAAAAAGTCCTAGGGATCGCAGGGTAATCTTATTTCGGTCGTCGAATGGCCTAATGATATCCGCGATCCACCAATGAAGTCCAGACATGGGCTGAATCAGAAGCGCGGGAATCCCGGAGCGTGCGCGATAAAAGACGTCGGCAACAAAATTGCAGAGACCAGCCGCCGAGCGCCACACAAAGCTCACCGAAAACATATCATGCAGAGGGAAACACTGTTGACCGTCCTGGTGACTCATGTACCCATTTGTGCTTCCCTTGGCCGGTATTGGCTCTGTGACTTCGCACGGCAAAAGAGAGTGTTCACTGTGTTTGATTCATAGACGCTAGAAGCAATATCATTATAAATTCATCGGCTTCGTCAGCTGAAATTACTCGGCCTGGGCATAGCACTGGCCAGCCAATTACCAAGCCATATGCGTTTTGCGAATGAGTACACGAAGCCTGTGACGGGGAATCGCTGTCCACTAAACTCTCATGACAGGTAGACTTCCCAAGACAATAATCAAAACCATTCATGGGTATTCCCAAATGTATTTGCCTCCATCAGAGTAAGCTTCGTGATAGTGACGTCATGGAAATTGGATGATTGCCGTAATGACAATTGATAATGCTCACCATGTGTGTAAATAACTCTTCAAAGTCAGCTGGGTAGGGATGTTGAGCTGAACAATGAAAATCTTGCGCAATTGGCTTCCAAAATTCACCAACAAACGAATCTTTCCACGGATTCGGTCACTTCCTTTTCAACTTGGGGAAGGGGCTGCAATTCAAGCTGGTGAGGCTACCCCCCCCCCCCCCCACCCAAGCTAAAAATGAAACCAACCCCGAGAATTCCGTTGTTGTTAACTCCTAAATTTCACTTCGCACAAAATGTCTTACTAAAATAACTATAAAATAAAATAAATAAAATAAGATAATAATAATAATCTTTTGATGGTTTCTGGACGCGGGGCCAGGCAAATATTTACGGAATACAGCGCTATGCACCAATTACCGTCGTCATTTTTTGCATGCAATTATTTCGCCACGAAACACAAACACAAACACGATCTCCCGACAACAGATCAACTGAGATGCATGCGACGACGCGTTGACAAGAACGGCCAGACCCCAACTGGACACTCATCACGTCTCGAAGATTGAGGATCACTCAGGTTGCGGGGAAATTTAGAGAATTTGGGGGAGGGGGAAATAGAGGGCGCTTATTCCTCCGCTCCACCGTTCCCAGAGGTAACCATAATACCTTCGGCTCGGAACGGGGCGTACTGCCTCGCCCACCAAGAACTCTGGAACGGCGGTCCCCGTCAGTATCAACTGGTGTTTGTTTATTCGACGGAGTGGTCACGGCTGACCCTCGCACGACCCCAGCCCATCGCTTCCAGGAGCAGTCACAGGATGTGGGGGAGGGGGGGGGGGGGCGAGTCAGCATGCGCAGAGGAAGCATCGATTGCGTTTAGTAGGAGATGGGAGCTCAGTTGTGTTAGAGGAATAATGCCATTTTCCTTTGGAGGGGAGGAAACGTGGAGCATCCCTCCCCCTCCGCTCACGCTTTTCTTGCCTGTGTCGCTCCTCGCATCTTTCTCAGGCGTGCGTCGATTCGTGGGCGCTGAATTCCGATGAAGAGTTTCCATTGGGGTGTGCCTGGCCTAACCCAGCATAATGTCAAACATCAACAGACCCCTGATGGCTCTCGCATCCACCCAATGATGGCTTGAACTGCTGCATGCTTGCATACGACTGTTTTCGACTGGTCATTTAACTCTGCAATATTGGAATGCCGGGAGCATCAGTTAAATATTCTAGAAGATTTCGGTGTTTACTGAAACTTTTGAAGAAGTAGACAAAAAGCACCTAATGTCCTCAACCCAATTAGGAACTGGTATGGTTCACGTTTTCGGGCTTTCGAGAGATTTTAAAGAAGTAGATAAAAAGCACCTAATGTCCTCAATCCAATTAGGAACTGGTATGGTACACGTTTTCGGGCTTTAGGGAGAGTGGGGCCTATTAAGAATTTACAGGCTTATGCTATTTTTAAACAAGAAAATTACGGTAAGTGGAAGAAAGAACAGGGCGGGATGCATAAGGTTTTACGTTTATCTCCGTAGCTTCAAATGTAGGGAGCATTAAGTGGTGTGCTCAAAGCCTCCCATAGTTAACATCGCACAGCGGTAAAATATGTTCTGCAAGTACTGAAGCTTATTCCCGGTTGAAAGCATATGTCTGCATTGGCAACGTATTAAAAATGCAGCATGCAACATGCCTATATAGTGCTGAGCCGGCCGCCGCAGTGGTGTCTGCCCCGGGACGCTGAACATCAGGATACTGAGACCGAACCGGCAGCTCGGTTCCAGCTTGCACGCCTTCCAAACACTCCGGCTGCTCCTCAAGAGCCAGACACTGACATGACTGCGGCAGCCGTCACATGCCGGAAACCACGTGCATGAGAGGCTGTGCGGCGCATGGGCTCGTGTATGCGAGAGCCCACCAGGCGGCCGCTCACGGTTTGTGTTCAAACCCGACTCGAGCCGCTGGCGCTCCGACAGCGAGCTCTGCTTCTTCTCTGCGGGCTGTTTACGATGCGTGGCTGTTCTCTGGCGGACTGGGCCTGGATCGCTGCGACCTTGGACGGAGCTACAGCCTGGTCTCGTAGCGGACATACGCGGCAATAAGGGACGGTCGGCGGACCTGCAGGTCATCCTGAGGGCAGCTGCTCAAGCACCCTGACCAAACAGGTAAGCCATTACACGAATGCGAAGGTTTGCTTTTGCGCGACACCTCGGTGATCTAAACACGGGGAGGAAACCAGAGACACCAGCGGGTGTCGGGACATCACAGCCCAACGTCCGGTCAGGCATGCACGCTGTTTGTTTGGGTCGTATTTATGCCAAAATGACTTTAGTAGCTATCTGTTACTAGAAAATAGTCGATGTGCTCAGAGAACGTGTTTCGCAAAGAGCAGATTTTCGCAGCCGTGGTTATCATAGGCATTGGGATACCATTTAAAGCGCAATAGGTTTGCACTAGTTATCAATGATGTGTGCAGCAAACCAATGTGACGACTCACTAGCAAGGCTTTATCCTTTTTGTGACCTATCGGGTAGCATCCTGCACTGCAGTCTTGCTCACGACGACCAGTGCTCGTTATCAACATGTGGTTTTATGACACGCTCAGTGGATAACGGTGCTCAAACATTGATTGATTGCAGACCTTGCCAAAGGCGGTTCCAAACAGCCCTGTCTTCCGCGCAGAACGGCTGGGGAAGCGAGGCATGCTCATATGGGGTCGGCCCACAGCGGCAGTTCGTGCGCCTATGTACGAAAAAACCCACCATCCACCCCGAAGCTGCATGCGTTACACCCGACTCCGTCGTTCCCGGCGTCAATGTGACCTTTGGCCTTGACTGGGCCAGATTACCGCGATAGTTGGACCGCTGATTACCGTTGTATGTTGCCAGCAGGCGCAGGCGCCTGGGTGCTGCTGGAAAAACAGAGGCAGGTGCTGTCCAGCGCTTCCCCGCGTTACGCTTTGTGCCGGCGCAAGCTAGTGCTCTCTGTGCGCGTCGCATTGGTAAGTTAAGCTAGTTTTTGGTTGTTTGTGAAATTCACAAGGGTTACATATTACAGACTATGGCTGTTGGCACGTACCACCTTCATAACATGGTTGTCATATCTTGTCGTAAGGGGCCTGGCCATCAATATTGCACGCTCTTGTGACAAAAAAACAACACACTAATAAGTTGTTTTAAGACACTTTTGAAAGGAGGAGCTCTGCATTTTCTGCGCGCGTAACACTTCTACGGCATGCATTTTCGCGTAGCTTATATCACTTCATGCCATAGCTAAATACGTGTCTGCTCTACCGATGCTACATCATGCTCAGGTAAGATCCATTGCCCACCATGTATCGTTTCATGCTGCATTCTAGATCGACGACACTCGATTAAAAGTGTGTTATTATTGCATGGCACTGTGAACGGACCGCAGTGACGAGAACGTACTGGCCATAACAGGTGCCAAGGGTCTGCCACTAGTCAGCTGTTGGACCCCGTTGTAATTTTCCACGGCTCAAGCAAGAGAATCGTTAAATTTGCGCCACGCTTTATGCGTCTCTAATGCGACGTGTTGTTCACGCATTGTCGGGTATCAATAAAAGTAGCTCGGAATGCAGAAAAAAACAATCACGAAGCGAAATGCCTGAATATGTTATTTGTTACATATTTCCCGCTAGCTTTTTCGTTTTTCGCTGATTTTGATGTGACCAAAGCAGACTTGAGCAAACTTTTTTTGGACGTGTTTTCAGTTGCGTGGAGAAGCCACACGAGTTACGGTAGCTGAGGATGGTCCATACTTGAAATATAGCATATTGCTACTGACACGACACAATGTTTATGTCTGCTCGTTTTCACTTGTGGTATCCTTTCATGTTAATATTTGGAGATACTGGACTGCTCCTATTGCTAAAGTTTAGGGTCGCCGGTCGCTTTTAATGCGAAGCCGTCATATTGACAAGTGCCAGTCGTGTGCTAAACCAAATGTCGTAGTTCCATAAGGTACCAGGGCAATCCCAGGAAGGTCAAAGCATTAAAATTTAACTGAGTTGTAAAGGTTGTGCAAGGGATGGATTATGACCATATTCGGCCATGGCCCTCCCTCCATCACTACAGCTCACCCCTATCACTCAAATCATCTGCGCTGTAAGGTAGCCTGCGAAAATGCAACTATCTTAAAGAAGCAATCACATTTTCCGTGCATCCGATACACAAAGGTCGTTTGGTTAGCAACGGACAACGGGCTTGATAAACAGGATAATTCAATAGCAGCGTAATTTGGGAGAGCTGTGCGCACCGGAGCAACATGGTATTGATCGCTCATTAGCATGCGATAGGACGAGCAACACTGCCTTAACAGCACACGGTAGGACGGGCAACGCTGTCTTAATGGCATGCGATAGAACGGGCAGTACTGTCTTACATGTACATGTAACAAATGAAGCTTTCTTTTTACTGATGCTACCATTAGCTCATTCGTTTGTGGTAGTATATTGCCAGTATTCGACAAATGCCAAGCAATTAATAGCAGGCTATGCTAACCGGACGAACAGCATGATGATATATGTAAAGGAAAAAATACATTCATATATAATACGCTATACTCATGATAGAATGAATGAGTCCAGAAAACATCATATACTTCAGCCATGGACTTCATTCAGCACACGTATATAACGCAAAAATTCAATTCAAATCATAAATGTAAGGCAGAAGAACATTTCAACAAGTATCACACAGTGCTCTCGGGCCGTATCATAACGAGCGACTCTTATGGAGGTAAATTGCACTACTAGAAGGCGTCACTTGAGACAGGCTTCAAAAGGTCTCCAAGAGGAAGTCATGGTGTTCAGCGTTGGCTTGACGTGTCTTAGCTGACTTGGTTCGGTGGTTTGTAACTCAGCTAGATCTTAACTTGTCTGCAGGACGGATATTTTAAATGAGTTTGGGTCGTCGACTTTCGTATGGTGTGAGTTAGTGAAGCGGTCGCCAAATGCAGTGTTTTGGTTTTGTTGTTACAGTTCGGATTTGCGCGCTTGATTGTTTCCCAACGCTACGTTTTGCCCCGCCAATGTAGGTTTTTTGTATGGCACCTTCCTACCAACGCTGCGATAAGGAACTGCATGACCTTTTCCCTACTAAGAATGGTGGTGGGTCAAGTGCTGAGGAGGTCATGTGGGCAGCTAATGTTTTACCGCTCTTCAGGCAATGCGGAGTGGTAACCCTGACGCCGTACTTACTGGGGACACCTTCTTCGACAGCGAATCACCTGCGAACGAAAAACCGATAAAAGAGTCACGTTCATGGTTTTGTTTCGTGAATGTGTCGATGTCTGCGGAAGTCCTCGGGAGTGTGTTTTGATTAGATATCTACTCAGTTGAATCATCCTATGTGGATATCCATTTGATTGCAATAGATATCCCATTTTGGTCAATCCCTGGATCTTCAGCTGCTGCGTCGGAGGCAGGCGCTGCGCCCTCAACAGCTGTGCGTGAGGAACTGCCCTTTTGGTTTTCATAGGGGTAGGGCTGATGTGAACGGCAAGACGACCGGTGACGTCACAGCTATGTAGGGCGCAGCGCCTGCCTCCGGCGGAGCAGCTGCGATACGGGGACTTACCAAAATAGAACACGCATTCAAAGCAAAGGCATAGCCACATACAATAATTCGACACAGCAGATGTGTGCTCAAAATATACTCCAGACGACCTGCGCTGGCATCAGCGCGCCCACAACACAAACAATGGGCGCCGCATACATCGTTCTTCTTTCGTCGTCAGCAATTACAGTGTCAAGGTTACCACTACGCGTTTCCTGGAAGAGAGGTAAAACATTAGCTGCGTACCTGATCACCTCAGCACTCGACTCACCACCACGCCCAGCTGGGAAAAGGCCATGCAATTTCTGCAACAACCAAAAGGGTCGTGTATCTCATCACCTGGCAACTATGCAAAACTCCCTCAAACACCTACACTGACTAGATAAAATGTAGCTTCCGGATGTTCTTTAGCGAGCACGTCCGAAATGCCAAAAAAGAGTGAATGAATTCAAATACGAGACCTCAATCCCACACTGAGCACCATGACTTTCTCTGGGAGCCTGCCGAGGCCTGTCCCATATGACGCTGTCTGTAAATGCAATTTGTTTCTAAAAGAGCTCCTCGATACAATGCAGCCCGAAAACGGAATGCAATATTTTCTTAAGTTCTACTGATTGACGTCTGTGATTGGAGTTGAATGTTTGCTTTGTGTGCATGCTTTGAAGAACGCGTGCGTCTGAAATATATTTAGGCGGTTTTGTTTTACTAATTGATGATGATAAGGCCTTTGGGGCGCACCGACTACGTTGGTCATATGGCGCCCATAACCTACATTTTATCTAACAGGTGCGTGAAAAGGCGGGGAGATGCGACTACGTCCGATATAGAGCATGAAATTGTATGTCTTCAAGATAACTGAAAATGCGGCCGTCATTGACTAAACTCGAGTCGTCTCCCAACATAGCATGGAGCGTTTGACACACGGACCCCGATCCAAAATGGCGCATGCGTTCAGGTGCGAGGTGGGCACAATCTATCAGGACATGTCGTGCGGTGTAATGATACCTGCAGCGAGGACATCGCGGGTGGTCTTCCCCACTAACAGGCATCGGTGAGTTACGTATGTGTATCCTATTCTCAGGCGGTATAGCGTCACTTCATCCCGCCTCCCCTTACGACAGCTGTACGCCCATGGCCCCAACCGGGGCTCTATCTCTTTCAGTCTATTAGCAGCACACGCATCCCAGCTCGCTTGCCACTGCTGTTTTACTAATTCATGTTATTATGAGCACAAGAGTATTCTCACCTTCCTCTGAATAAATACTTCAAAAACCGCAACATAACAGACCCAGGAGACATGACAAGAAACTCGCCAACTCTGTTGTCTGAGCCGTATCAAAATAAGTAGGGATACAGCAGTTGACGATCGTGGTACAACCGTGTCCGCCGGTGTGGTGAGAGCGCCCGGTGTGACGAGAACGCCCGGTGTGACGAGAACGCCTGGTGTGACGAGAACGCTCGGTGTGGTGAGAATGCCCTGTATGACGAGAACGCCCGGTGTGACGAGAACGTTTGGTGTGACGAGAACGCCCGTGTGATGAGAGCGCGCGGGGCGTTGAATCTATGTATAAAATTAACTTCATACGTCTCTGGCGTCACAGATGGCCTTCATCCGAAGAGTTTTCCAGCAGCGGCCGTTGCTTGGCAACGCTCTCGCTTACGGCACGCTCTTCGTGGGCGCAGAGCTCACTCAGCAAACTATCCTGCGTCGAGTGCTAGTAGGTATTGTGATGTCATTTGACGCATCAGTTTCAACACGATACGGTGCGCGGGATCCGCCCATCAACGGTTAGCAAGGCAAAGTGAGACGCTTCTGTCGAGATCGAACGCGTTCAGGTCACCAACGAATGCTCCACAAAGGGTGAATGGATAAAGTAGATATAGCTCGCTGCGCTGATTTGGCTACTGCAGTTTCGCTACATACACAACACAGGTATCGTAATCCTTGGTCAGGGATCAATTGCTGTAAAAAAAAAAACTGCGCAGCTGGTGGCGACGGCAGGCAAAACTAAGGCCGGCGCATCTTGAGCACGTCTGTGCGATGGGAAGACGTCATTACTCAGCTCAGTGCAGCCCCCCCCCCCCCCCCCATTTCAGAGGGAAGACAAGACTCAGCCGCCGGCTCCCTACGACACGGCCACACTGGGCAGATATGCTCTGCTTGGCTACACGATCAACCCCACCATCCTGTACTTCTGGTAAGGCATCACTGCTGACAGCTGCAACCAGCGGCGCCTCCACATCGCCGGTCCACGAGCCTAAAAGAAAAACGAAACATGACGAACGCTTTCACTTGCTCGTCTTTTCTACTGAGGAAGTCATTGCATAGCTTATACACCGGCCATTCAGAGATATTGATGCAATTTTCAGCTACATGTCAGCCGTGATGTTTGTCTGCTTTTGTCCCTGTGCAGTAACGCGAATCGTGTCACAAAGCAAGTGTAATGTTAAGTTGTAACTCGGTAAAGGCCACACGATCTTCGCTGCAGCAGAGTGACGCAGAGTGACGCAGGGTGACGCGATGTGACGTGCGTGCGACTCACGTTACACTGAGCCGCTCGCACAAGACACACGCGCATCCATGACACACGCGCAAGGCCTCCAGTAATCGACTTCCGGCCTTTCTGCTGGTTTTCGACAGGTATAAGTGGCTGGACAAGCGGTTCGTCGGCACCTCCATGGCTGTCGTTGGCAAGAAGCTAGTATTGGACCTGGGGGTCATAGGACCCATCAACATCTTCGTCTTTTTCACCGGTACGAAGTGAAACATCAGAGCCCGCAGAATGCCTGTGACCCAGTTTGAAACCACACAACAGAAAAATGCAATTCAATGGAGGTTCTTCGTGCCGGTAAACTGGCCTGCGGCTGTATCTAGCGCCAATCAATTTTGCTTTGTCGACGGTTGCACAAAATTGTCTCGTGTTTGTACACGCAAGCCGTAAAGCTAAGGGTCAGGGAGACATCATGTTTTTTACCGCCCATGAAGTGCTCGGAGGGCTCTAGCACGGCGATTGGTGCAGTAATGATCCGTAGACTTCCACATCGCATTCCCCGAGGGTCGTGTATTTTGTATCTTCGTTCTGTTTCATACGCTTGCAGTGATGAAATGATAAACCGTTACGATATCGTTGTGAAATGCGTGCAGCGTGACGCACTCCGCTTTCTCGCCGGCACACTTGTTCAGTTGTTGTTTGAATAACTTGCTCTTGCCTTGCAGCCATGGCCCTGATGGAGAGGAGGGAGGATATATTTGCTGAGCACAAAGACAAATACGTAGGAACATGCCTGGTAAGCGTCTGCTTCCCTTCAGTCCAAGGTGTCACCAGGGGTTGACAACTGGGGAGGGGCAAATGACCTGGGGAGGGGCAAATGGGCGGCCTGGGGGTCAAACCGCTGAGACAAAAGAACCGCTGCTGCCGCCAAGGCGCCGCGTATTCCTCGGGGGCCAAAGCTCTCCCCGCTCCCCCTCCCCCCACCCCAATGACGACAATTTTGCCTAAAACAGTTGTATCGATGTCTCGCTGAAATGTATGCCCCGTTGTTCGTGCAAAAGATTAGTGATAGCGTGCACATACGGCGGCGCAGCCAAGAGGGGCTCTTTGACCCATCCCCCTCCCCCTCTTCAGGTGGTGGGGTGCCACTACTTTTTGGTAGTTAAGGCCGCAATCGGGTCATAGAGTTCATAGAAACGATACCCGTGACATCAAGATAAGATCCCGAGCCTAAAATAAAACCAAATTCGAAACGCAAGACCCAAAGCTGCGGGGTCCCCTGACTGAAGGATCCCCATGACCCGAGCAGGCCTTCTCCGGGTGAAATCCTGGTCACGTGACCACGCAAATGTACCGAGCTAAACTATTTTCATCCCATTTAAGTGTCCGCAGATGGACTATTCGGCAAGCGAGCGCCAGTTGTTAGCACGCTATTATCTCGAATATGTCATAGAGCTTTCATGTGTTCCGATTTTGAAGAGCGCCCTCTGACGTCACCCCGGCGTCCTCTGACGTTACCCCGTCGGCGCCGTCTGCTTTTCAGAAACAAGTGTACTTCTGGCTGCCGGCCCAGGCCGCCAACTTTTTCCTCTTGCCCAACCGCTTCCGGGTGCTGTACGTGGGTGCTTGCTCATTCCTCTGGCTGAACCTGCTCTGCTGGATCAAGCGCAGCCCGGTGGAGGGGGCGAAGCAGGACTGACGACAGCTCGCGAGCGGCTGGTAGTCGCTGCGGGCGAGTGGCGCACCGTTTGGAATCGCTGTGGCGAACCATATGTGATTTGGTGGCCAACCATATGGAATTGCTATGCTGCACCAAAGCGAGCCCATCAGGGGAAACTGGGCGCCGAGGCTATCTAGAGGGATCAGTGCAATCTGTGTAATTCATGCGAAACGTCTACACGCAGTGCTTTCGCGGTGTGAGCCTGCATTGATACGTGTGCGTCTTATGCGGCTGGGTATTTTAGAAGGGTATTCGATGTCCCGTGCACATGGTTCATGGATTCGTATTGGTGCCTTCATGTGTTACGAATAAAATAATAATATATATAATAATAATATATAACAATAAATATAATAATATAAATAACGAATAAAACTCTTCCATTCCCTTACAGGAATGAAAGCTGTGGGTTGTAGCGTGGCCAAGAGGGAAGGCTCTGGGGCCATTGCGTGCCGTGGAATTGGCGGGGACTCCTCGGCCAAAAATCCCAGCACTTTTCGACAGCGTAAAATATTTTACGGACTTCCCACATATGAAGAGTCCCGTAGGTGTAAAAAGGACCAGCGCGCTAAAAGAGTCGTCACTACCAAAATATCCCACAAAAGCACCGAAGAGGTTTTAGGGACTAACAGGGTGGTCCCTGTGATCCACTTTGCTTCCTTGCTAGCCGAAATCCTGGGTACCCTGCTGGGTGTGACTGAAATTATGATCCGCCCGCCTGCGTAACCAGGGCGATCTGAGCGCCTCTGGTGGCCAGGTAACAAACCATCTCCGTCGGTTTGTGATTGAGACAGCAAATGTGGATCTCCTTGCGCTTGGACTAAGTGTCTGGAGAATAGAACATCGTTCTAAGCCGGTGTGTGACCCATCAAAGTGTACAGCAGACTAAAGTGTACTCATCACTGAAATGGGTCAGAGATAAGGCGTGATCGACGCAAGGAGTGGATCACTACAGGTCACTGCCCGTAGCGATCACACGAGTTTTACCTGTATGCTTTGATTAAGAAACGTAACCAACTCCAGCTCGGACACTAGCGGACGTGACAATGAGCTACTAGATGCTATTTACACCAGAAAGATGCTAAAGTTCATGCCAAAAAGCCACTTCATATTCCCTTCAGCAGTACACACAATTTCTACCACCGACGTCTCCTTTCGCAAAATCAGACAAGTTCACATGGAAAAGTGTGTATATCGCTGTGCAAGCCAAAGGTTGCCGCGTTTATTCGGTAGTCAACAATCAAACTATAGGCTTCCTTTTGGACACAACGGAGGCAGCTTAAGACTGCTCACAGGCGACTCACTCACGGATGATCAAACAAATGTTCACTGGAAGTGGTGCGGCGTAAAACTAGTAGTCAAAACGCTGTGAAACCAGTTCTGTCACGCAACGCACAGCAACGCAGTCGAAAAACTCACACGGCGATACGAACTTGCGACCAAAATATCACAGCTTGGTTTGCGCATGAGCGCTGTTACAGAGTCGCAAATTCACAACTAGTCTTCTTCCATTCAGCCCCATTCTTGCGGACCGTCGCTATCTCTGCATGGATGCTTTCGTTATGGTTTAAGTGACAGCGTGACGGTCCTCCCTGAGGTGGCACCCCAGCAAGGGGCACGTCGCATGGAGCGAAAAACTTCAAACATACCCTCACGATCTATCTGGTTGGAGCTAAAACAGCTACGATAGGGTATTCTGATGTGGTATAGATGAAGTGTGGACACTGACTTCGGAAACCGGGGTGCCCCAGATGTAAAATTCGTGCGCTGCAGTGGCGCCTTCCTTCAGTCGAAGCCTTCTCTCGTCGACGTGACGTCACACCCACCGTTCGTCTTCAGGACGCGCTGGGCCGGTATGTAATGGAAGACCCCGCCCACACGGTGGCAGATCGTCACTGTCACCTGGTCCTCGCCCTCGCTACCAGAGCTTTCGACGCTGTCCGCTCGGCGACGCTGCGGTCGAAGTTGCGGCTCTGACTTGAACGGCACGTAGTTCCAGTCCCTGCGAACGAAAGCAAGGCAGTCTAACTCGACTACGACGGCTAAATAAGCTTAGTTTGGTTGCAGCTGACTTACTGAAAAGAGGAACTTGAGAGGCATGTGTGTAACGAAACTAACAAGGCAACTGCAAGACTAACAAGGCCCGACTAGCCATTACACTTGACGTGATCCAAACTCGGTAACTAATCGCAAAGCTAACAAGTCGCGATCAAATCGTCGCTATTTTCAAAATTTCATTTACACATGGCACACGAAGCCCGTTTTAAAGAGAACTCCTCGCCCTTGATTACAAAGTGGTGTCCAATAGCTTTGAGCACTGACGCAGCAGCTGAGACCCGCAGACTTACACAGCGGTGCACGACTGCTCACGCTTGGCTCACGCTCACCTGAACATGTCGAACCGTTTGAGAAGGTGCTCCGCGTGTGCCTGCTCCCGCCCCCTCTCCTCTCCCGCCGGTGTCATGTCTAGGCTCGGGTCATAGCTGTCCACGTGCCGTCCCTCACAGCACCCTGGCGCTGCACAGGGGACGTCACCGACAGCCTCGTCCAGCTTGTCTGGCGAGCGCTGCGTCCCCTCCTCCACCGGCGGCGAGGCGGACCGGTGGCGCCGGGGTGCGGCCGGCGGTGGAAACATGAACTGGCGGAACGCTGCCTCCAGAGAGCCGTGCGACCGCGAGCCCTGGAAGGGGGGCGCTGTCGGGGGCGGCACGCGCACGAAAGCCGGAAGCGCCGACAGTGGCGGCGGCAGCGGGGCCACCTCCAAGTTGCCCAGGAGCGCGCACAGGTGCTCATCCGGGATCGACGGCTGCTCCGTTCGCGTCGGCGCTGGAGCTGGAGCTGGAGCTGGCGCTCGGGTCAGCGCCAGAGTTGGCGCCGAAGCTGGTGCTCGGTCTAGCGCTGGGACCGCAGTTGGGGCCGGAGGCGGAGCTGGAGTTGGAGCTAGCGCTAGAGACTGAGCTGGCACGGACGTTGCATCGTGAGCTGGCGCTGGTGCTGGCGCTGGTGCTGGTGCTGGTGCTGGTGCTTGCATTGGCAGCAGGGCACGCTCAGGAGCCGTCACTGTCGCCGTCGCCGCGGGCGCCCGTCGAGAGCGGAGAGCCCGCCCTGTGCCGCTGCGGGCCTGAGTCCGGGAGGCTCCCTGCATCGCTGACCGGGTGCTCCTTCTGCGGCCCTGACTGCGCGCGCGGCCCCCGCTCGGGCCTGCCTGGCGGGGCGCGGCCTCGCCCAGTTGCACCTGTGCGTTGTCTAGGAACGGCTGGATGCCGTAGTAGCAGAACAGGCTGGAAGACGGGGCGAGAGCTGGTGAGAACCAACCAGGAACGCGAAAATTGACAGAAAGAATGGAAGAATGCCCTCCCTTAAACGACAAACGTGAGAATGATATACAAAAAACATGACGTTGCAAACAACACTTGGGGCTTGTTATACCACGTTCAAGACGACAAAGAAGCCAATGACGAAGGAGACAGCGGTGTGCGGCCAGTGGAGGCCTAGGACACATGCTAGGTGGTTGCTGTCGTGACCTGCCACACCACGTGACGGTAGGGAGTTCAGACAGTCTGCCGGAAAGCACTAACGCAACGCTGTACTGACGCAATCTGAGGATGGAAAACATGCTGTTACGCCAAGCTGTAGCACAGTCCGTTGGCATCACGCTGCAACGTGATGCTGCCACGTGGGTTGTTGGTATGTCGTAGCCAGAGGCGTGGCTGGTACACGGCTGTAATGGTACGGCCTGAATTTCGAAGAGCAGTTTTGGTCCCAAGCGTAGGTGCTACCAAGGCACTCCAACTCTTTTTAGCCCGCTTTTATCTTTCATTTTAGCACCTTAGATGACACCTGTCCAAATGTTGGGAATAAGTGTATCGAGTCATGAGACGGATCGTCGGGCAAACCCTTCGTTCATATCAAGTGCATAGCCTCCTACGATAGCGCAAGCAGGAGCACAGGAGGCACGTACCCCCCACCCCCTCCCCCCCCTTAGGTTCCGAGGGGCCCGAAGGGCTCCTCGAAGCCTGAGATTAAGGGCCCAATTTGAGTGCCTGAAGGAATCGAAAGGCCAGCCGGAGGTCTCATTCAGGGACACCAGCCGCAGGGTCGAGCACTCCACGCCAGTCAAACGGCTGTACGTGCTGATCAGGGGCCCACCGAGTCGATAAGGGCCTATATTACGGTCAGGCAACACCCCCAGGAACGCACGTTCAGCTCCGTAGCGGCATGGGCCTAAAGGCCCATTTCCCAAGCAGGGACAAAGCTGGAGCCAGCGATTTACATTGCTCGTGGCACCACGGCGCCGAACAGGGGCCTTGTGTTGTCAAGGGGCCCCGAGTCGGCCAGAGGTAGTGCTCGAGGAGGCCCGAAGAGAGGGTCTAGGGGGCCCACGGATCCGATGATCAACGGCCCGATTAGAGGATCTCAGTGTATAAAGGACTGGTCGGAGTCCGGTCTTGGTCTGGTTGACTGGTCCGCGAAGACGGACCCTCAAATAGCGATCAGAGGGCCCTTCGCGCTGATCCGAACCCCCTGAGTAGATATGGCTTATATGTCGGTCAGGTACCACCGTACCACATAGTCGGTTCCGTGTCCCCGAACCGACTATGTTGACCCGAGGACCAATTTACCAATCAACTACGAACCCGGAGCCAGTGATTTACACTGGTCGGGGGCATTGTATCTGTCAGGGGTCCACAGCGCCTAACAGGGGGCCCTGTACTCGCAAGAGCCTCGAGACGACCAACGTAAGTGTTCGATGAGACCCGAAAAGGGACCCGGGCGGCCCACCGGAGCCGACTATCAACGGCCCGATTAAAGGGCAAAAGGACCCAAAGGACTGACTGTGGGTCACAAAGATAATCGTGGCTCGTAAGATCGTGACCTACTATATCAGTCGGAGATCTTTTTTCACCGTTTGAGGAGCCCCTGAGATAATGCGGTTGTCCAAGTTCGTCAGGGACTACAAACGCCGAACAGTCGGTTCCATGCTCTTCTGAACGCTCGAGACCCATTACCCAAGCAGTAACGAGGCCCAGGTCCGCGATTTGCAGTGCTCGGAGCTCCTGACACAATGAAGGGTTCCTGTGTCGGGTCAGGAGCCACAGTGCAGAACAGGGGTACTGTGGCGACAAGTGTCCCCGAGTCGGAGCGGTGTTTGAGGGAGCCCGAAGAGGGACCGAACGGTCTCTCGAGACCAAAGATCAAGGGCCCGTTGGGATGGCTGAAAGGTCCGAGGGGCTGGCTGGAGATCACACTAAGAACCGACACCGATAGGGCCGTGATCTCAAATATCAGTAAGATGATCTCTTGCACCGACAAGAACCTTCCGGGACAGAACGTTCCACTATTTTGACCAGAGATCACGGAAAACGAACTGTCGGTTCCGTGTGGGTCTGAGCTCTGGGGGCCCATTTTCCAAGCAAGAACAACATTCGGCCAGCGATTTACATTGGTCGGGCTCCTGTATCGTTCACGGGCCCACCGTGCCTAACAGGGTATTCTGTGTCAACAAGGGACCTCAATTCGGTCAGGGGAAGATTCGCTCAACAGGGGCGAGGACAGGAGCCCGAATGGCAGAGGGTCCATTGTGTTGGTCGGGGTCCTCTGACAACTGAAGGAAACACAGGAATTTATGATGAGGGCTCACACTGAGGTAATAAAAGAGACCTGTGCCAGTCAGGGGCCCCCAGTACCTAGCAGTGGGGCCTTCAACCCTATTCCAACATTCGCCGTTAAGCCCAACTGGAATCTATGTGCCAATTATTTGACCACCTGCGATGAGCAGGGATGTTGTTGCGTCGAAGATGGTTCATGCGTCGATCCTGGGTGCACTGTGCGGGTCAGAAGGCCTCCCGCGTCCGGGAGAGGACCAATAAGATCAGATGTATCCCTCTAAGGTCCTCCGAATCGGCCAGGGGATGCCGCCCCATGCCGCCAGAATGACGGCCGGAAAACACACCGCGGTGGGACAGAATGGCCCTTCAGCCCTTGACCGGGAGCAACAATGTGCCCCCTAGTGTTGCACTCAGGGGCCCTTTACCGGAAATAAGGGGTCTCATTAGTGCTGAATGGAGTGCCACAAATTGAGTCACTCACCCCCCCCCCCCCAGTGTTGCACTCAGGGGGGCCCTTTACCAGAAATAAGGGTCTCGTTGGTGCTGAATGGAGTGACTCAAAATGAGCTGAAAGCGCACAAGGCCCTCCCATGTTTCCTTGAGAACGTTCCTTATTTTGCAAAATCTGCTAGTGAAACAAATACCACACAAATTTTGAGCCTTTGCGCCGGGTGCCAACAGTGTTGTGGTAAACGCGCACGCGCCAACCACTGCGCGTCTGGGAAACCACAGGTACGGGGTTCGATTCCCACGATGCCGCCCGCCCTTCCCGCCAGGGTGAGGGGCTGGCGGTGCCATTTAGATCCAGCACTTGAGTGCGTCATAAAACCCAATGACACGCCCGTGATCTTGGGGAGCAAGGATAGCAATAGCTTGGGTTCCAGTTTTTACAGAACCTAAAGACGTTGGCCACTGCAAGTAACGCCGGGGGCGGGCGCCGAGTGCGCAACAATGACCATCGTAAAGTAATGTTTCTAAATGTCTTTCAAAATCAATGCGTATAATTCAAAGATTGCCATGAGCGCATCTTTTTTGCAAGTTTGAAAGAGTCTTCTGGACAGTTTAACAGGAACAGCAACGCGGAAGGTAGAGATTTTACCTTACTGTTCCAGCTCCACCACCAGATTCCTGCATCACTTTGCGGTGCCGTGAAGACCAATGCGTTATTGCCATGAATCTAAAAACCGGTCTATATTCCAGTTAAAGAAGACACAAATGTGTTATATATATATATATATATATATATATATATATATATATATATATATATATATATATATATCGTGTAAGAAAACTATGCCCTGAAAAACAAATGGGTCACATCCGACGATTTTTGTGGGGGCTGTTTGTAAATCCAGAGCCTTCCCTTGCCAAAGCTCTGGCAGCGCCCCCGCAATGAACACGTTGCTTCGTGTCGTGAAGCCAGGTCATGACTCCATCGGATCACTCACATGCTATGCAGGCAGTTTGTGGTGCCACAACATAGGAGCCTGGGCACTAGGTACAGCTGGTTTCGGTTTGCGTTGGGTCTGCCAATCGTAAGACACCATCAGCTGGACTGAGCCAATCACAAGCCACCCTCGGCACGTGCGCTGATCACAAATCACTGTCAACCAGTCACAGACGTCCGCTAGCAAGTTAGCGCACGTCGCAATGCTTCCGATCGAGTTTGTTTTAATGTTTGCCTCATAGGTTTAAGTTTGGGTCAAAACACGCTGGCTAGCTGGCTACAGAGTGATGTGATGCAACGCTCTGGCTGTCACTTGTGAACACACAAGCTTTGCCTTTGTGCCAACGCGCAAGTACATGAATACCCAAGAAACGGCTATTTTTGGTACGAACCAGATACGGCGGGCCAAAAGCCTTAAAAAGAGCCAATAATTCAACGGAGCAGCCGAATCGGTCTAGCCCACGCCTCCGAACGCTGCTTTATGCGCCGCGTCTGATTATGTAGACTACTTTGACGTGCTTGTTACAGACAACACAGAAAGAGGAAAAGGAAAGGAGGCGGGCAAACGAAGGCAAGGCCGATCTCACGCCTCCACTGGTGTTAAGCCATTAATTAAGCTAAAGCTGAAAAACGGTGAGCTTCTTCCATGAACGGAGGCCGACGGCATCTAGGCGTAATGTTTTACACCAACGTGTCACCTACCGGGTCAGATCAATGACCCAACAGCAGATAAAGCTTTACGTGTGAATAACCACAGATCAAAAATTTGTGTGGGTATGCCACCAGATGACAGCTGGAGGATCATATGAAACATTCCAAACACAATTTTACGCCCGCTACCACTTTCCTTGGATTGATTAGGCCACGTCGACCAAATTCGTCCACATACCAAAATGGTGTGTAAATATTTGAATGAAACGGTATTTTAATGTGCCAAATGGATGCAAATTTAGGCTCAAACGCACCTGAAATTCAGATTGAGTGCCCGCAATCATTTGGTATGCATAATGTGGAAAAGTCAGCCATCATCCACATAGTTCAACTGCTGTGTGGCCTTGGCTGATTTTGAACGATCGGTGTCTTTGTAGACGAAGAAAGTTTCATGGCTCACACCAATTTCTACAGTGATTGTAATGGTGAGGCGCGTTATCTGCCGTTGATCGAGAGTCGTGATGCTCCTCTCTGTATCCAAATAGGGAAAATGGAAATAAATGGAATATTGTACCCTGTCATTATTATCATTATCATTATCATTATTATCACATCATGACATCATTATTCGTTACATTCGGACGGCTCAAGCCCTCCCGCGACGCAATGTTGGCATGTCGATGTATCATTGTTCAATTTGTGTGAAGCAGGCAGCAAACAGATAAACGGTGGCCGTTTATTCGCCAGCATGTCATGCCACACCTTCGAAAATGTGAGCACAAAAAGAGCAGCGCTATGGAATGCAGCCTTTATTTTGATAAGTATTTAGTAGCTATTAAATCAGAACTAACCTTGTCCACAAATGAGTGACCGAGTGTTATCTGGCATATCGCACAAGGGCGTGGGCAACGAATTGTGTTATGGCAATCCTGACCCGTAAAATTTTTTGGAGTGGGGTGGGATACAGCTTTTTATAAATCGTATGTCTCCTTGGATGATTAAATTATTTTCCGAATCGGACGGGAATTAGCCTCTGTTGTATTTCTTCCAAAACGTGAGCTAACCATAGATTCTATAAATAAATTAACCAGCGCAAATGGATCGAATTTGACTGAAGACTGTCAATTTCCAAAACAAAAATGAAATATTTCCACGATTGTGATCTTGTGAATTGGGGCGAAATGCGATGTTTTAGTCTGGCCTTTTGATACAAATTCTTGGAATCCTTTTACTTCCTGAACTTTGAATATTTGTACGAAAGTGGATTATTGGGGCCGGGGAGGACAGCGCTTCATATATCCATATGACTGATAGGCTAGATGGACTGCACGCTGGGAAGTCGATGAATGAAGTATTCAAGTTCGGGGACGATATCGCGGAATCGTGACCCTTTTTGCAAGCGAGCTGCTTGATCAGTATCATATCATGTTGCATGTGTCCAATACATCTTGGGAATACATCGCATATCCCACGGGCCCATGATGACACAGTTTGCCGCCACCATGCCATCGAAGTCCACTAGCCCGCTCCTGGTCACCACGCCTCTGCGCCGGTGACCGTACTCACGCCAGAGCTCGGTTCTCGAAGCCTGGAGGCGCCCGGGTCAGGTCAGGCTCGTAGCCCGGTGGTGCCTGCGCCAGGCTGGGGTCGGACCGTGATGACGACATGGATGATGCGCTTGGACCGGCCGCCCCCTCCCGACCACTGCGGGGGCAGCAAGACGAACGGCGGCGTCACGAAAGCACCGGGGAATACAGGCGGCAGTCCAGATCGCAGTCGATGGAGAAAAGCAAAGAAAAAGCATGCAAATGAAGCTGCTCTCATGGAGTAGCTCAACAGGGTAAAGAGGGCCCCCGTGTTTTCTTTTGTCGTTTTATCTTTTAGACCCAGCGCTGCCACGAGTCCGCTCTTCCAGATCACCGCAGGACTCAGCTACTCTCCAAAAAACTCACCTTCCTGATCCCGAATTGAGCGGGCAGCTCGGATTGGCGATGACAGTCACGTGGCAGTTGGACCGGGACGGCGTGTTGTCATGGTGACGATGGACGAGTGACGGACTGCCGCGCCGGTAACTCATACTGGTCCTGATCAGGAAACACGAAAAATCTGCCAGTCCGTCATTGGTGTGTCATTTCTTACGCCTAAAAGCACAGTGATAGTTACTGTCGCAACCTTTCGCGCTGGATACCGCAGGCGGAAACAGTAAAGTGCGAGCCGTAGGGATTCTCAACCCCCCCCCCCCTCCCCCCCACCCACACACAATCACAGGGTTGAGGTGCTGCGAACCAACTCGCTATAACCGATCCGCAAAATGCGACCCGCCAAAAATAGCAAAAATACCGGTTCTCAAAATCAGGAACAGAACTGAAAATGCGCTGGACGACACCAGGCCTCATCCGCCACATGCCTTATCACAGAGCAGAGCAGTGCCTACAGTTCATAGTTTGTGGGAAATCGGAGCGCGTTTTGTGCACAGACGCAAAGGAAAACCACCGAGGATGTCTGCGACTTTTGCGGAAAGTGACTGCTAAGTGACGATGGGCTAAGATGGCCAGAGAGAATGAAGAGGAGAAAGAAAGAAGAAAAACAGAGAGAAAGAAAAAGGCACCGAGTAGGAAAAACGGCGCTGGGGATCAATTCCAGCTCAAATGTGTCAGCTAAGGCTGAGTTCGAAATGCATGGTTTGTGGGCACATTTGTTGATGCCTTTGACCAGAGGGTGAGCAGAAATTTTTGCTTAAACAGAGCTGAAGGTACCATGTCATACCATAACGTACATGTATTGTTAAACTATCTTAAACTATCTTAATGTACATGTCTAATTTCTGTTGAAGCAGAGCTGAATGTACATACCATACCATACCATGCGTCATACCTGGCCATACGTGGATGAAGCCTTTTGTGCAAAGATAAAATAATTTGTCAAAAATCTCATCTTAAAGTTGGCATAGCATGGCAAAAACAAAATACCTTAAAACACAATCCAGTTCGATCAGCTTTTCGCCATATGTTTGTTTATCCGGCAACCGAATTTGTAGTGCGCGTTATGTCTGGCTTAAAAGGTGAATGTTTGCCGTCTAGTATTGTGTGCTGTATAACATCCTCAATATGTAGGGACAGGGGTGAAAGTATATGGTATGTTGGCAAGTCAAACGGCCCATTCGGCTACGGTTTAACAAGCACGTCCTAGACGCAAAAAAAAACAAACTCCTGGACATCCACTGACGGTCACTTTCTTTTCTTTTTATTGAGATTTGACCATTTCACCATTTCACCAAGACCATGAGATTTGGCATAACGAGAGCCCCTTGGCTGTCAACATTTTGCAACAACAAAAAACCGAAGTCTATCCTTTCCCTGCAAAATTTGTGAATCAGTCCACATACGCGAACTAAAAACCTCACCAAATAGAAATATTTCATCCTGAAAATTGTGTGGTCTTTATCCGCACAAAGCTATTGCATTTCATCTCCCGTGATTCATTGTAATTTTGTCAGGTCCAAGTGTGGGAAAAGTGTGCCTCTGCCCACCTGTATGCTGAGGCAAAAACCCCTTTCAACTCCCACCCCATTTTACCCCATTTTACCCCAACCCCATCAAAACCCCATTTTAATTCCATTTTAATAGCTGAATGTGATTTTGTTTTATTGTGAAGTGAGAAACTCATTTCATTTGAGACAACTCTCTCACCCTCCCAAGAGCTTCTATGCGTGGCGCTTCTACTTGGGTGTTGTGGTCTTACTTCCTGCATAATCTCGCCCAGAATCTCTGAATCTGTCGAGCAACAGCCATCATATGGTGGTGTGCGGCAAATAGCGGAACGGAACTTATAATTCCGTAAATTGTGCCCGCTAATTATTGATCCGATAAGAAGTGCACTTCGTTTTGCCCCACATTTGCTGATCGCGAATTATTTGATTAGATGAATGTTGAGAGAAAGAATATAAGCTCAATCACGTTTACGTTTATTGATAAATCAAATAGATAAATATTAAGCTCGGCACCTGTAGGCTAAGAAGCAGTTATAAAGAATGCGGGATCATGAGTCAGCTGCATCGCATTCAAATAAATATAAATGGGCCGCCTATTCAGAATCACTCTGTTTCATTAGTATGGACACTTCGGACTATGCTTGAAAATGTTCGTATCTCAAGTCAATGTGTCAACCATATGTGTATTAAAAGGTTATTAGCTTCTTAATAGCTAACTTCACGCCACATTCACATTTAACATGTAGATTGAATCGTTGATAATGCGGAGTTCATATAATATAAGAGATGACTTTTGTACCATAAGAGGCAATATTGTACAGCGTTTATATAATGCCAGGAGACCTATTGAAGTGGACGAACATTGTGAGGACGCAGGTGCTACTCCTTGCTTTCACTCACCGTCTTTTCAGAAGCTTGATGAAACCCGTGCAGCGTTTGTAAAACAGTGAATAAGGCTTGAAAAGCTTCCAAACATGAATTCCGCAGCTGACCTGAAAATTGAACGCTTTTTTTAGGGCTCCACTTTGCAATTTGTGTATTGGCCCGAGTCCTGACCAAGAACACCGACTGTGCGGCAGTGGGCGAGCCCTGAGCAGCTCCAGAGCAAGTGATAAGCTCTAAGTGTTACAAAACACGCACATACGCCGAAGACAGGCAGCCGCGGCTGGAGAAAGCACGGTATTCGAGAAGCTATCTAATTTCCTTGAACAACAGCGACATATTGCCGTGGCATCGTAATCCGAAGAAGGCGGTACATCGAAGAAGGTTGGCAAAGTTTTCTGCCCGTACCATGACCAACTCCTAGATATGAAACCGACTAGTTACCACAATAGACCCTGACAATTTGCCGCATTGATTGATTTTGGTCATGGACGCTTGCAACCTGTTTTGGGATGGGGAGCTCAAATTCTGACGATATCCATCCCTTAATGTATCTTAATTGAAGCACCAGTTTCGTCATCTAACACTGCCAAAAACCACGAGCTGAATGACTCGATAAATTTTCTTCCTAATATCAGCCCTACAACTTTACCGTGGCAGGATAGCAAGACGTCTTGTAACAATAAAACCGCGTCGGAAACATGCACACGGACATGAGAGCTTATAGAGCGTGCTGCCAACCTTACCAGCTTTAAATTGAGCTCCACTGTCTTTGAGACGCTCCACACCCGGCGGCCTCTGCCCCGCCTGACCCGACTGACGGAACCCAAGGTCACTGACCCCGAGGCGGCCGGTCACTGCCCCAGGCAGGGCAGTCAGCTGACTACAGCTTGGTAAAGAGGCAGCTGGCTCGGGGGTCATTCGTGCCGTTTTAACGGTAAACTTGAGATACTTAAATCGAGTGGGGACGCCACTGACTGGTCTGCTGCCATGATATTGGAGAACAAATGTGAAGCGCAGACACAAAATGTTCCCGATAGCACACAGGTAAGGTGGAGCTCATGTGGCGATTCCTATATCAGATGTATCACAGGAATTGTCTTACTTGAGGTAGATGGTTGAAATGACTCGGAGGCTGACATGTTTGTCTACTGATGTGTAAAAATAAAGAGATTCAGTAACATAAGAAGATCGTTGATACCGTGTTACTACCAAGACCTCTGCATCTGTATTTTGTTGAATGCTGGGTTAGGGAATACGAAATGAGTTGCGTGGGCGAATGAGTTTTACTTGAACCATGCTAGACTGTTGAACTTGAGCGACCCTGTCCAGACGTTACACTTTCTGGAAGCCAAGATTACTGCAGCTGCTGACGGAACTCTGATCACGCAGCTTGCAGCAAAAAGGAGCACGACTATTCAAAAGCTGCGTCTCATCCTCAGTCAGGCATTTTGGTGCAGGCTGCTTGATCGGCCACGTTTGTCCAGCAGGATTGCAGTATCACCACGTTTGTCCAGCAGGATTGCAGTATCACTACGTTTGTCCAGCGGGATTGCAGTATCACCGCGTTTGTCCAGCGGTATTGCAGTATCACCACGTTTGTCCAGCAGGATTGCAGTATCACCACGTTCGTCCAGCAGGATTGCAGTATCATCACGTTTCTGGTTTATCTCCTCGTTCGATTAACGCGGAGGACAAGTAAAAAATTTTGCATTGAAAAAGCTGAGGAGCACGGGTTGAAACCGTGTCGCCACGCCAATGATCTGGCACGGCAGCCACGCGGGATACAATAAATATACGAGAATAGTTTCTGATGAAGGAGGAAGCCATCTTCCTCACTGATGATGTCGTGGACCGGCGTGTGCAGCATGTCGTAATGCCCCGTGCGTAAGCCTTAGACCCACCCGCGGGGGGCGTTTTTTTTAAAGATTTTGTCAGATCCCAGTAAGCGAAGCGGATGAGAACACGAAACGGAATGGATTCCGGCTACAAGTTACTGACGACTCTCAACGCTTTCCGACGCATAGGTGTGGAAGTAATCGGTCCGAAAGCGCTGATCACATCATCATTAAATAACTCGCACCTACCCGGTCCGGCCCCGGGCACCACCCAGCCCACCGTTAGCCCGGTCTGGCCCCGGGCACCACCAGACCCCTGTAGGTCGGTCCGGCCCCGGACACCACCAGCCCCCTGTAGGCCGGTCCGGCCCCGGGCATCAGCCAGCCCCTGTAGGCCGGTCCGACCCCGGGCACCACCAGCCTCCTGTAGGCCGGTCCGGCCCCGGGCACCATCAGCCCCCTGTAGGCCGGTCCGGCCCCGGACATCAGCCAGCCCCTGTAGGCCGGTCCGGCCCCGGGCGCCACCCAGCCCCCTGTAGGCCGGTCCGGCCTCGGGCACCACCAGCCCCCTGTAGGCCGGTCCGGCCCCGGGCGCCAGCCAGCCCCCTGTAGGCCGGTCCGGCCCCGGGCGCCACCCAGCCCCCTGTTGGCCGGTCCGGCCCCGGGCACCAGCCAGCCCCCTGAAGCCCGGTCCGGCCCGTGTCGATGCTGCCGGCAGTTGCCTGCCCCCTCCTGGGCTAGTCCAGAGAGATGGTTCCAGACAGTCGAGGTCATTGTTTGAAAGATAGTAGCGATGGGGTTATGAGCCTTCTTCCCCACACCCAATGACAGTGGCTGTCTACTACGCGCACAGTGATTGTGAGGCGTTCATAGATTTCGGAAGCGATGGTTTGCGTTACCCGTTTACATGAAACATACAGCGACCAGGGCCACGCCTTGTCACCGAAAGGTCTTGTGTTGGCCACCGTCCGCTTCTGGGACTTGTACCTCGGTGATATCACCCAAAGGTCTAGTGTTGGCCGCCGTCCGTTTCTGGGACCGGTACCTCGGTGATGTCACCGAAAGGTCTAGTATTGGCGACCGTCCGTTTCTGGGACTTGCAGCTCGTTGACAAGCTATGCACAGAATGCGGAAGGCAAGCCCCAAAGAATGCTTTTAATGCCATGGCTTCGTCACCGCAGAACTCTGATACCAGTTATGCGATATCCATTCGATTTATGCGGATGCTAGATTGGATTGGCAACATTTATGATGAAGTTTCTATTTGAGTTTTTGTGAGGGACTGATGATGGTCGCACTATTCACGTAGTGTAGATTGACAAACTTTCGAACGACGACGGCATTAAAAACGAACACTTAATGGCAAAGTATGATCTTAAGAAAATATCGTGTCTACGGTCCAGTTCTTAATGATAATATATGCTATGGAAGGCTCATGTTACCCAGCTGTCAGCTTTCCTGTGCCGACTGGCGTTACTCCGACTCCGATGAGAGTCATGAGGACATTCAGAACCTGTTTGGTGATCACACTGCTCGCAATGTCTGTTGGCGAACATAGCAGATGCGCGGAATATCATGGATCTCTTCTGGATGGATCTCTTGGAGATCCTGCTTCTCGAACGGCTCCTAAGGACGCTCCTGGTGATTCAGAACTCCACCGAATGGATCGGAGTCTGGGCCCAGGCTGTGACGGATCTTGTATTTTTAAAGTACCCGGCTTTGGGGGCAGGCTCGACGGATCTGGCCGAGACGGAGCTGGTTCGGCCGAGATATCCCAATAAAGCAGATCCGTGGGGTTCGAGTCCTTGGAATCTGCTTTCCGCATTCTGTGTATAGATGTCACTGACTAATATACAAGAAGTAGAGGTGAACAGTGGCCAACAATAGACCTTTTGGCGACTGGTCGCAGCCCTTGATGGGGCGAATGCTGCTTCCTGTTAAACGGGTTAACGCAAACGTTCCCTTCCGAAAGGTGAGAACGCCCTATAACTGCTGCACGTAAGGCGGTCTATGAAATACAGCTCGCATTACGTACTGAGCCACGTTTGAGACAGCCGATGTCACTGAGTGGATGGTAAGTTGGAGGAGGGGGAGGTTAGTAACTGCGATGTTATTATCTTTCGAACAATGACTTCAGCCGTCTGGCGTTGTCTCTCTGCACCAGCACGGGACGTGCCGACGACTGCCGGCAACATCAACGCGAATCAGACCGACCGACAGGCGACCGGGTGGTGTTCGGCTGCCATTTACAAACTTAACCTTAAAATGTGTAAAAAAGACGAACATCGAAAGTCTCCAAACAGCTCGCGTGAGAACGGACATGCTCATGACCCTTAAAGGCGTATTCGCAATTAGCCCTGAAAAGGTCACCAAAAAGTGATGGGTGATCAAAGCCGCTCAAGCAAAGTTGCAACACGGGTGAGCCTATTGTGCAATTAAAGCGCGCCGTCACACAGTCCGCCAAGTTGGAATGCTGAATGATGATGATGAAGACAATGATGAAAGCGGTGATGATAATGCGTGATGACGATGAGGAAATGATAAATGTTACCTTGCACCCTGTGGCCACTGGCCAGTGTTCACGGTATGATAACCCCTACATGACTCATATTTTTCAGATAGACATGAACATGCCTGTGATCAGGGAAATGTTCTACGTTTGAAGCTATTAAAACAAACACCAGATATGGAGAAATGAGCTCACTTATAGCTAGTAGTATACCTTGAAGTGGATAAGACTGTTCTAGACATCACAATTTCCCTATCTAGTTAACATGTTCCTCATTACGTCATCATTTGATTTCGTCATCGTTCCTTGCACAACATTGATTGGGCGCCAGCTGACAGCCGTTATGTTTTGAAATCGTGCGCACGAACGCCAGATATCAACGACTCTACAATTATATTTTTATTGACCTTGATCGCCGCATGGCCAGTGCAGCAGCAGGGTTTGAATGACGTTATTATGGCGTCATGGATGCTTGGGTGGCCTTACAATAGACTCCCCCAAATATTCTGCACATCTTTCCGGGTATGTAGCTAATAAACTAGAAAGGTTTAGGTCTTTAGAAGGGCAGGGCTGTGAAACGCACCGAATGGTCTTATAGATGGCTTTCGTAGTTTACACTCCTATGCACATGTAGGACACGCCCTTTACCTGATATAGCACCGAACACCTTACAGTTTGATGTGTTGGTGGACGACGGAACCACTCATTACATGGTCAAAGGTCAGGTCAAACAGTAGCGTTCACAGTTCAGACACGCTGGGAGGGGATAGCATGGGCCATAACTATCGAACCAACAGTGCTTAGTTTGCGAACGAGAGCCTTACGCTGCTTCCAAGTGGTGCATCTCACTTAGTTGGTGTTTCCTTTATCTCGGGAGCGTATCAACGCGTGGTTCGCTTGACCGGATATTTTGACGTTGTTGCCATCGACATCTCGTGCCTTTATCTATCACGCAATGCAGACGATAGCCCGAGGACGTTGACCTTCGCCTAAACCGCAACTCCCCGCGTCACCACCCCCTCCCCCCCCCCACACACCTAGCCCTCCAGTATCGTCCTATCATAACTACCCGCACCTCTCGGCAGAATCACCACCAGCTGACGATTGGTGCCCAGCTCCCCTCACAAGCTCTCGGGACGGACGAAACTTCACAGCCGTCCTCACCGAGAGAGCGGCCGCAGCCTTGCTCGCTGAGCGGGGGCTTGAGGCCCCTCTCGCCGAGCGGAGGCTCGCGGCCCCTCTCGTCGAGCGGGGGCTCGCGGCCCCTCTCGCCGAGCGGAGGCTCGCGGCCCCTCTCGTCGAGCGGGGGCTCGCGGCCCCTCTCACCGAGTGGGGGCTCGCGGCCCCTCTCACCCAGCGGAGGCTCGCGGCCACTCTCGCCGAGCGGGGGTTCGCGGCCCCTCTCGCCGAGCGGGGGCCCGCGACCCCTCTCGCCGAGCGAGGGCTCGAGGCCCCTCTCGCCGGTCGCCGCTGA